TGACAGCTAATAATAAAATTAACTAATCAGAAAATAATTTAAGGTTGACAGAGCTGGTATGGCGATAGGCTGTTTACATGCGACGAGACGATTGCGTTCTGTTAAATGATAAAACATAAATAACAGACATGGGTTCTATACAATACATACAATTATTATTGTACCCACAGGTGGATAGAATCATTTTATTTATATCTCTTTAAACATTCATAAAAAAAAGTTTTTTTTTTTTATAAATTAAGGCGTTTAAAATCGATTTGGCTTGGGTTTGACAGTGATTTATAGAAAAACCAACAACAGTTTAAATACGAAATAATTGAGAATAATAATGTTGTGTGTGCCGCATTCGCAAATATAATATCTACTTGCCGTAACAAATCAACGCAATTCATCAATATTCATTACTAATAGTTTTTCTTAAGAGGCTTATAAAGTAATTACATAATATTAATAATATTTTATTTTAATCTTTTTTAATCTCAAAAATCATCGAAGTAGTAATTTTGGAAGTTTTACAACTGAAGTCAGAAATTAGGTTTAAAGAATACAGAAATAAAAAAGTAGAGTATACTTTTTTCAAAATAAATACAAAAATACAATGCAACGCCTCCCAATAACCGCATCAAAATGTGATGCAATCTTTTTATTCGTCAACTCAAAATCTCGTACCGTGTAAACCGGCCTTTTAAAGCGGCCAAGCCGGTTCCGAGCGGGTTAAATAATCCGAACGTTAGCTTCTCATCTTCCTTTCGATGGAAAGTGAATGTCAAGGTCGCGCCGAAGAGTGGCGTGTTAGTGACTCCAGCCGCTTTTTGTTGAGGTTATGCCGGTTAAGAGTTTACATTCGTAATAGTAGAGCTAGGTGTAGTAGGTTATCTTTAAGCTGCCAATAAAGTGTTATAAGCGATTATAACATTTTATGACTTTCAAGTTTCAGCAAAATTTTACTTTAAACTTGATTTCAGCTCTGAAAATATATGTACTAAAAATTTAAATGGGATTCGACTTGTTAATTTTAGGTAACTTAGAAAAAAGACATAGGATTTTATTTCTATTACTAGCTGACCCGGCGAACTTTGTTCCGCCTTAATGGCAATAAATAAGCAGACTTTTTTTTTATTTCGAACGGGATAAAAAGTATCCTATGTCCTTCTCCTGGCTCTAAACTACCTCCCTGACAATTTTCAGCTAAATCGGTTCAGCCGTTCTTGAGTTAAAAGTGGAGTAACTAACACGACTTTCTTTTATATATATAGATTTTAAATCTATGAATTAGTGTACTTATGGGTTTTGACAGAAAAAAAAACATTTTAAGCTGTTGGTATTAGGTATTAACTATACATAAGTTAACAAGACATCACGACAATGCGGCCGGCCGGCGAGGATATGAATGCGCGAATTTCCTGGTCAAAAAATTGATCTAAAGCTTTCGGCTGAAGTGCATGCTTTGGGTTGAGCTTTTAATACATTCTAACGCCCTTTTACGGAGATAGACGACATAAAGAATTTTTTTTTTTTTTTTTTATGTGATAGGAGGCAAACGAGCAGACGGATCACCTGATGGTAAGCAATTGCCGTCGCCCATGTACACCCGCAACATCAGTGAAGTCACAAGTGCGCTGCCAACCTTTTAAATCCCATTCCCTCCCAATTGGGCCTCCGGTATCCGGTATCCGGTATTAAAGTAATGTTAAACGGCACATACTCAATCAAAGCGTTGAGTACTTAATAATGCCTTAACAAGCTGCGAAGTCGTCTAGGTGGCTAAGTGACCGAGGGTCAAAGGTCTTGCAACACACTTCGAATGAGACATAAATCTTGGACAGTTTCTCTCAGGAATATCTATCGAAGTTTTGTTCCATAGACGCCATTGAATGTACAGTCGACAGCACATAAGATTATACACATTTTTGTTGAATGAACAACTATACAAAGAGGTCACAAATAAACACTGTGGAATGGCGTTATTCGGGCGATATGGATGTCATTAAGGAGGCCTATGTTCAGCAGTGGACGTCCTGTGGCTGAAATGAATGATGATGGCGTCGTCCGTAGTAGGACTCTACATTTAACGTATGGACAAATGCTGATACGCGATAAGAACCAGTTTCAGCTGTTTCTGAAAAAAGTTGCAGAATGATAGCTACATACTATAGGTAGTAAGTATTACTTATTTATAAGTAAAGACGACATATGCTACACAGCGACTGTTGCTAACCATACCGGTAGTTTTTTCTGCCAAATATCTCTATCTGTGAAACTAACAATAATTGTTGTCTTTTTTTAAATCCACTTCTTTGAATCTCAATTGATCTACCGATACCGTTAGACTATTGTCGCTTAATACGGATTAGAACTTACCTATGTGTACGATAATTATCGTACACATAGGTAAGTTCCTGATAGGGACCTTACATCAAGTGGTAAAACTAATAGAGTAAGAGCTAGTGAAGTGAACGCCAGACCTACGTCATTTTATAAAAGCTGAAAGTTTGTCAGCGTATGCTCCCAGTATTGGATATAATGTTGGTAAATTATGAAGTTTGGGTCATCGTGGCTTTGCTTCCCTAAAAAACAGTCTGGTAAGGAGTTAGAACTGTCAATACTGTCTGACTGTTGGGGAAAATACTTCTAATTATTGTCCAAATATTATACATAAAAATCAGATTTAATGGTATGTAGTACTTAGTTTATAAGATTAATAACTAACGTGCCTTCTTTGCCTATTTTTGTAGCATTGAGCGTGTAATTGATAAATTGATACGATTTAAAGTGTTAATATGCGTTCTGTTTATGAGTAAATCGTGACGTGACCGTCATAAAGTTGGCTATATTTTTAGGATCGTTTGAAATCTGAACTAATTATTTAATTAGTTGATCTAATTGCAATGGTTTTAAATGCAGTAGGTTAAGAATGTTTACGGTGAAGTTATTATGCATTTATGTTGAAAACGTTTTTCGGGGTATACCCAATGGTTTGACAAACTTTGTTCAATAGTGGTTCGTTTGTTCGTTCGTTTCAGCCAAATGACGCCCACTGCTGGACAAAGGCCTCCCCCAAGGTTTTCCATAATGAACGGTGCTGCGCTGCCCGCATCCAGGTTCTTCCCGCGACCTTTACCAGATCGTCGGTCCACCTAGTAGGAGGCCTGCCCACGCTACGTATTCCATGGTCTTCAATGATGGTACGTACGACATTATGATATATATGTAGACTATTTTGCAACAATAATACAGGCATTAATAAATTAATGTACTGGCGATTACCTACAGGTTATCAGGGACATCACCCATAAAGTAAAACCTTGAACTCAAATGCAATTCTATGTTTAAAAGGCATAAAGTTCAATATTCATAATTTTACGGCGAAGCTGATCTGCGGTGATCGTATCAAATAAAGATTATGGCGTGACCAATTAGTTTGATCATATTTTGTTGATTGAATGACTTCATTAATGAGTCTGCAAGCATTGATGGGAGATTGAAACATCTTGAAACAAGTGATTAGGTGTTATGTGTAAACACTTTTGAATCTAAGTTGACAGTACATAAGTAAATAAATTAATGTCCACATTTTGCACTCCTAAACTTAGCAGTTACTTGTAGTTACAGGTAGACAGAGATGACACTAACAAGTAACAACACGGCTTTGGCTTTTATTATCAGTTACAAGATCTAACTAAATAGACACTATATGGTTAGTTTTAAGTTACTTTTAAGTTATACTATCGCATTGGGTCTTACCTGTAATGATGGTGTAAATGTGTGGAATAAATAAAAAAAGATCCCGTGAAGTGATAATTTTATAAAAAAAAGTAATTTTAACGAAAGTACAATGACAACATTTAACTTATTCAAGTTAAGGCTCCGTAAGATCGTAGTATGTCAGATTTCGTAGTTGATCGTTTTGAGAAGAAAGTAAATTCAAACATAAGACATAATATACATTTACCACCTTTACACTACCATAATAATGTGATAACATTTTCAATCTAACATAATCATATGAACTTGGTACCCATCAAACTTTGCTTTGAATCCATTGAAGAAAAGTTTGAGTTGGCATCCTTATAAATTTATTTTGGAACGCTTTAACCTCTTCATTGGAAACCAAACATTGTTATGGCACCTCCAAAATTTGTTTTGGAACGCTCTAAAGTTCTGCTCATCGCTTTGGGACTCTACAAAGCCTCGCAACAGTGTCAAATACCACGAAACGGTCATACCTTTTTTTATTTTCTTGGTAGTAGAGCGTGTTTTAAGAACAATGAAAAAAAAACAATTACGCTCTTATTGATTTTATCATACAATAAATGACGACAGTAAATGTCCAATAGATAAGACAAGATTATACTTTTACGATCAATAAAAAGCTTATCGTGCCCCTTCATAATTATTTAAAGATTTTATGGTATCTTTTGTTTTCTTTGATTTTATGATCCTCAGGAACTCCATATTCATTTCAAATTGATTTGACCTTCCCTTGATTTATAGCTTCAACTTTAAAATAGATGTTTCTGAGGACTTTATATTTTATAAATAAAATTTTCATTGTTCAAAAAACTGGATTTCCGGCAAAATGTCAAGTCCCTCTCGTTGACAAAATTAGACTAACTTGCATAGAGTACAATCAAGTGCAAGGAAACCGGGTTATCTATTGTATTGTGTTGTAAAATAGTATCATATTTGATTAGTCTAAGAATTCAAGTTTGAAAGTAACATTTTTTGTCAAGTTGATTCTAAAATAATTTGATGTTCCTACCTTTCTAATTCAAATATTTTTGTCTACAAGACATCATAAAGCCAAAAAATTAACATTAAGTTTTTTATAAAATGTTTAAATGTATTTTCCGAAATGTCAAATTATTAATATTCCATTATAACATTTATAGTTTCCAAAATATGATCGCATTTCACGCAGCACCTTTCAATGCTCTCGAGTGTATATGAGAGTGAGCTTCTTGACAGTGTTTGAATATCATATGCAAACTAGCAAACGAGGCGTAGTATAAATAAGTGCGGGTGACCTGTCATCGTCACATTCGACGGTCTAGCCTCTTCCTTGTAAGAACCCACCAACCCAAACACATCAAAAATGAAATCCGTAAGTGTCTTAAAACAAGCTTTTTAAAATTTAGAAAAATTTGGAGCTTTCACCTTTCAAAGCTTTCAGATTTCATCCGAAAGTTCGAGCTTTTTCTTTTAATCTTCAATTCACAATTGGCTTGATTTTTTTTGCAATCATGGCAAAACATGGTTTATTATAATTAGAAAGATCTCGTCTACATTTACCTTTTCCAATATTCATCTTTAAATTTTACTTATAGGGTTATAAATAGAACTGACATAAAAATACCTACATTATGCTAATCATGTATTGTTATCCGAGCAAACTCTATACATGAATCGAATATTTAAATATAGGATCATGACTTAATTTTTTCTAAGTATTGCATATTAAAATAGGCTTTATTTCAAAAACTTAACCACTTTTATTTAATGTTTTAAAAGGAAAACGAATCAAAAGGATTTGAACTTTACATTCCAGACAGACGAGTATGTGGAATATATTAACGTAAATAATTGCTTGCTATATTTTGACTCACAGTTTAGTAGCATTTTTTGAATTTTAAACTAGTGACACCACTCTTAAGCATCTTTTGTCTGTCCTTTTAAAAAATCTACAACACTTTTTTTAGATATTGTCAGGTTTATAGAGCTCAATTCAAATAAAAGTAGGAATCATAGAAAAAATATTTTCATTGGAGTTCAACCGTATTCTTACATCATACAGTTCAAATGAGGGCTACCGTTTTTGTGCTCTACAGCTGGCACCACTAGTGAGTCTTAAAATGGTACAGGATCTTACTCACAGTGGCGCCACCCTAATGAGTGCAAATACGATAGTCATCCTACCGCTTCAGCGCTCACCAGTTGGCGCTACTACCCTAGCCACTAGCAAGTGACAGGACCTATTTTAAAGCGCCTACTGACGAGCTCAAATACGGTAGCCTTCATTGAAGTGGGGTCTATACCACCTATCGTTAAAGGATTTGTCATACTAGATGCTGTCTCTCTATACATTTTGTATTGATGCAATCTGGCAGTGCTGGCATGAGCAAAGAACGCAAACTAACAAGTGTGCGATTCAAGTGACTTGACGGACCGCAGAACGCAAGTGTCAAATGCTCAACCCTTAAAGCGCAGCGAAATACTATAGTTCTTGCAACTCACGAAGTCGAGTGAGCTTTACTTGTGCGTGTACGTGTACATGCACATAACAATAGTGTTGTCTATCAAAAGTTTTGAAAAACGAACAGTAGTGTAGTGAGCCACCACACATGTAAAGATCACTCACCTTCGTGAATTGCAACAACTATGTACCTAATCAATTATATTGTTACGCGGTCATATTATTATGCGAGTCTTGGGGATTGATGGAATATGGGATAACGCCCTCATTCACAAACGATGCTTGCTTAAGTGAAGCAGCCAATCGAACGCAGATCGTTGAATAGAGCTCTGTGATTGGTTCGTGCGTCACCCTGTGCGTCCGCGCGCACTGTGAGACCTCATAGTAATGTTTGTGAATACGGGCGTAAGCATACCTCCAAGCTGACGTGTCCTCTCGCCCACAGTTCGTCGCATTCGCCCTCTTCGTGGCCGTCGCCGCCGCCATCCCCGTCTCCCAGGACTCCAAGGACGCCGTCGTTCTTCGCTACGACAACGACAACATCGGAGTTGAGGGATACAACTACGCGTAAGTACCATCATCAGTGATAGCCTTCATTTAGTAGTGAAGAAAGTACTGTAACAAATGCTGGACGAAGAAGAAAACTCTTCCATTGTTATCACAACAGTTGTTGTTTCGTAACAGTTCACTATTTGGACTAATTGATCAAATTAATTATTTCATGATAGTTTAGTTTTCATTTCTTGTGAAGTAAAGAAAGTGGAACAGGTTTTTGATTTGAGTAATATTAGTCAATGAAAACGAATTGACATCATCATACAAATAAAACTTGTAAGGTAGCATTCTTCAGTTGTACGTCCCTACTGTTGAGGTCCGCTTTGTTCTTCGTGACTTCTATCAATTATAATGTTAAATTTAACTTTATTGTCTATGCTAACAACGATTTTGACGAATATTTTTTAATTCGTGTGTTGAGAAACGTTAAAATGTCATTATGAATTAGTTATCGTCAAATTACTAATAGCATCGCCAATTCAAATCGATACTGAAGGTGAATGCAGATTCGCCGCTGAACTTTCAACTTTGCGGCAAGTAATCGCTTGATATTTCGCTTGGATTTTGCGAGAGACGTCTCTTGGTCAATTGACATATGAAGAAACATCACGGTCATAGGTTATTTTTTGATAACGCATTGATGTACTTATTAATATTCCGATTATAATTATGACTCGTACTTATGTCCTTTGAAAGATTCAAAGAGAAGAGACCTAGAAGAGGTGTGCCCATATATTATTAAGGGTGCGATGTCTTCTACCTACTTGAAATGGCTGCAAACAGCTCATTAAATGCTGTACATCAAATATTCAGCTTATTCAGTTGATTCTGTACATCGCGTTTAGAAGTTTCCCGCTTCTTTTACTTCAATGTGACTAACATTTGGCTTGTTTGCAGTGTTGAGACCAGCGACGGCAAGTCCGCCCAGGAACAGGGTCAGCTGAAGAACGTCGGCACTGAGAACGAGGCCATCGAGGTCCGCGGTCAGTACTCCTACACCGGTCCCGATGGCGTCGTCTACAGCGTCACCTACGTCGCCAACGAGCTCGGCTTCCAGCCCCAGGGAGCCCATATCCCCCAGGCTTGAATCTAGTCCCACCACCCGACCTGCTAGTGAATAAACGTTTTTGATTTAGAACTACCGATTTTGATTTCCTCATCTATCTACATTGAGAACCTTTTTCTATTTCTGTCGCTTGGGTTTTAATTTCTGAGGTCACAACGCTGTGAAAGTTTGTCAAAGTTTAATTGGAACGAAAAACGAAAATCATTCTTTTCGATCTTCTTAATCCACATCTACTGTTAAAACACTACCTGAAAATAGTTTTCAGAGCCTTGAACTCGCGAGAGTCCATACTCCACTGGTCCAGTGAGGACAGGTCTTAATTTAGCTATTGATTCAACTCACAGGCAAAGGCCTTCAAGGCTTGCCATGTATCACATTTGTGCATTAAGTAAGTAAATTATGTTTTAATTTTTGGGCATATAAATAATGTGAATACAATACAATCGCGACACTTGTTGATGACTGCCTTAAGCCACTCGTGTGCTGGTGACATTACTAAACAATACCTACTCTTGTCGAACAACTGCCATTTCATAGAGCAAAGGTCATTAGTTCAACGCTAAAGTATTTTACTAAAAACTATATATCAATATTGATATACACTATAGAATCTTAATACTGAATTATATTAATATCAATAGTGTTTGGAACCAGATTACTGGTAGTAAAGAGCCGGCAGAGTTTAGATTTCGTTGAATATGTAATAGTCTCAATAAAACATCCGACTTTAAAATTACTTTAAAAATACGTCTATATGTATAGATAAAAGTCGTATTAATAACCTAGATCTAGAAAAGGTAATTTCATCGAGCGTTATATGGCTTGCGGGAAACCCCTGCTTGCGACATATGAATATCAATGAATGTGCTTTTTAATGGAAACAAAGCAAGTATTTGACCGTAATCCCACCTAATGTTTACTGAGATGCAGTCTAGGATAGTGTATAACGCCCCTGTAAGTGCCTATTCACTCTCGCCTTGAAAAGGCCCGTATTATATTATATTCCGTATAGCCCGTATTATATAGTGTTCTGGAAAGGTTCTAGAAAGACAGCTATTCAATGATAAGCTCGAAAGAACGCGGAGTAGTTTTTTGATTAAAGAAAACGGGTAATGCGGAGTTAAATAAAAGCAATGAGACAGAAAAATATCTTTAACAGTTTTTTTTGTGCGTTAGCAACAGTGCCAGATTAAAAGTTGACTACTTGATGCCCTGAGCAATACCCTGTGCTACCGCCCCCATCCATATTATCGTTCTTTAAAAATTTGTAAGTTAATTCGTGGTAAATAGTTTTTATTTGCCGAATTTTTTTTGATGCCCCCTAGACGTGATGCCTTATGTAATTGCTTATTTTCTTATGGGTTAATCCGGCACTGGCTAACAATAGAAATACAAATAAGAGTGTAAATAAAAGTATCAAGCACAGCGTGCATTAGCACCTCTCTGTGAGGTACAAAGAGTCTTTGACGGAGATGTAATCTGGACGCGCGCTTATCGCAAAGCCCACAGGGGAGGGTGCTCTATTTCGTGTTTTTGTTACTTTATTTAAACAGAATACTTGTACTATTGTTTCCATTTACTCCACAAAAATGAATTTCATGACAAGTCAAGTGTCCATTTAATGACATGATTCTGCTAATAGGAATTATACAGATTTAAGTAAAATTCGTAGACAGGAGCGTTTTAAAACATGATTATTTCTTCTTTAAGCACGTAGATTGTACACTTGTACAGTGTGGTCAAAAGCCTGGTGTCCGATTTGATAAGCTGCTTCTTTAAGCTTTTCCTACCTAAGCAATAAGCAAACAACAAAAAGTCCTGCACCTATTGCTTCGATTACGTATCATGTGAAAGAATTAATAAAACATTATCCACAAAAATCTTTCATAACATTATTTTAAGGAGCCGTGATTTGTTAGAACACGCCCAAAGCAATCATTCTAATGCAAAGTGAAGTAATATTATTTACTTAAAAGACATATGCATACTTGGTCTCAAACAGAAGCAAGTAGTTCAAGGTAAAACAATATTTGGCAAAATAATTAAAAATCAGCATTGCTAATGTGCATTTTCATAATGAGACTTGTTGACAAAATCTGTGTAAATATTGATTCATAATAAATCAATTAACTATTTTCTACTATAACTATGTGTATCTACTTGTTCATACTCGTACCAGGCCTGTTCATCTCCTCGAGTTTACATCAAAAACAAAACACGCACGATGGCCCACCTACAGGATACTATTCGACAAGGCCTCACATACGAGCGAACATTGACTCACGCACGCGTATTCTTGTGTATGATGGAAGAAAATAAAGAAAATGGTGTACTAAATACTGTGCAGTATTTAACCGCCTAAATAATAATAAAAACACAGAATGTACTTTTTTAAGTTGCCTCAAGACACATGATAATTCATGCAAAATCATGTATTTCTTCCGCCATTTTCCGCAGTTTGGCACTTCACGTCACATCATTTTACCGAAGTCAGCCCTATAGCTTCGGCGCAGTGCCGATCACTGACGTTTGTCAACAAAAGGGTGCTTGACTCTTGAGACAACCTAAACCATATTGTTAATGACATTGAGCATACATTTTTTTAAATACCTTCGCGAAGTAAAACTTCTGTACGTAGTACTTATTATTATTCTGTGCTCGTACTTATAATGCTTGAAATCGTTTGTTTTGGCGAAAAAAATAATCTATGCTTTAGAATCTGTTTGTATAAAAATCACTCAGCCCATTTTAACTGCTAAATATTTCGATGAAGAATACAAACAGAGTTTGTGAGAGTGCAGTTTGACCACTAATACATAGAGATGTGCTCATCTATAATCTTCGCTCTAGTCAGACTCTTCAGCTTGTCACCCCTCGCCACACCTCCGGCTTCATGTCTGACTCCTTCTCAGTCTCAGCAGTACGGCTCTGGAACGGCCTTCCGGCGAATTTGCGAAAAGCAACCTCCAAATTTACATTTAAAAAGGCTCTGCGCAATTATTTTAAAGACTAAAACTTTTCTCTGACATGTGTTTTGTGTACGCCGATATTATTATTATGTTTATGTATCTAGGTGTATGTCTATTATATTAATATGTATTCTTATGTTATTTATTTTATCTAATGCTATGTAAGTATATTAATTAAACGTCATATTTATTGCACCGCCTTAGTCTCTCTACTCGACCTGTGGTTGACTGGCAGATAATGCCACCTGGCATTAAGTCCGCCACTGTACAGTTGTATGTGCAAAAGTGTAAATAAATAAATACATCTATCAGGGTGTACAGGATGTCCTAGAAACTCTGTTAAGAAGAAGTCCAGAGGTAGATCATCACTAGAACTACCACATGTATGTTCCGCAATTATTGATTTTTTGTAAATGTAGATTGTAGATTTTTAAAATGAAGTTTTAAAGAAAAGAGAATTCGTAAAATCATAAGACTCCATAAAATAATTCAGATAAAAAGTTATGTTGTTTCCGAGCTTAATGCCAAAACCAATCATGCATATATGTTTGAATAAGTCTTCTATGTATACTTCAAATGTCAAGCGACAAATAGTGTTATAATGTGTAGGTTAAATATTTCCTAGATTTGCGAAAATATAGATATCGATAGTGCCATTCTGTCAGAGGATTAACTCGTGTGACACCTTAAGCCAAGCAAAATCCGGAAAATCCAGTAATTGTCACATTGTACAAAAGATATCGTAACTTCCTTAATGCTATCTTTCAGAAGACTGAACGTACTTCTCTTACGAAAACCAAAACCTATTAGCTCACAAAACTAACCCAACGAAACTATGTAAGAAAGACTATCCTGCTAGGCAGACCGGTGACTTTAAGAAGATGGCAGTGGCAGAATGAAAAAAGATAAACAGATCGCGCTCCGTGGCATAAGTGGATAATATTAGAGACTATTAACCTGATGACGTAGACTATCGATAGCGTAGTGATAGTTGAATGTCGATGGCCATCACTAAACTACGCCCACACTTGAACGTCTTCATAATCAGCAAATCACATTAATAATCCTATATTTTATCAAATAATTATGCGCCCTGTAGGCCTAACATGCGCATCGCGATAAGCGGTTATCACGCCATTTTATCGATTTTGCCCATACATTTTGACGTCGATAAAAGTCATCACAGCGCGCATCTTAGGCCTACTGAGCTACGTAAAATAAGCGTGATGATTTCGCGAAATTAATTTATTTTTAAAATAAAGTAATTTCGCTATTATTACTTAAAAGGGGGCATAAGAGTCAAGCATTTAAAAAAAACATATTTTATACCAGAATTTAAAATAATATTTAAAAACTTGCACATAATGTTGCCATTAGCTATTTTTTATTTGATGAAATCACCTCTTATATTGAGAATACGACCGCCAATTCGTATTTTCAAATAAATTACCCATTAATGTCAAATAAAGTATGCTATTTGTACAAAACATACATTATTACGTACCTAATTGAAATAAATAAAATAACCTCGAAAAATTAATATAAATATTATTTTTTGTTTTATTAAAAATGATGCTGTGGTCATGATTTCATAATTTATTTTCTAGTCGACCTCAGTGAGTTATAGAAAATTGTATTAGGTCATCTAAATACAGTGGCCAGCACAAAATTGTTAAAAATTGCATCCATCAGAACTATGAATATACGTTCCTTCGATTCCCGTTGCCGCTCAATTATTGTGGCGAATCCACTCGTAAAACAAGCATATCGATATTAATATTCTTAAAAAATCACGTAATTTTTTCAATGTAATAGAGCTAAGGGTTTTTCCGAAGCCAAGCGTATTTCCTCGCAGATGAAGCAAGTACGTGTTTGACCTTAAATTTAGCTAAAAACCACAAAAGTTATCTTTTCTTACTTTCCTGTTAAAATATTACTGACGTTTTGGTTTTTTATATCTTATTTCAATGAAAAATCGCATTTTCCTTATATCAACAACTGATCCTAGTATTACTACTCTTAACTTACTATGGCGTATCGTCTGACTGAAAAAGTCATAGATATCAGCTACGACTTTTTATTTTGATCTTGAGGGAAAATTGC